GCGTTTATTGGTTGGTGCATATGGGGCCAACAGCTAGTAAATCTGTGTAACACATACAAAAAACAGCAACCCAATTCAAGTGTACTTTGTCATATATTGGATCTAATACAATGCAATGCTTTTGTGTTATCAAAGGAAACTGTAGTATTTATTTAAATCCAATGAATATGTTGCAACAAGAATAGACCTATGTTTTAATCAAAGGTAAGTGACCAGCTGTATTGGTATAGAGGCAACGGGTCTTGACTTGAATTCGGATGGAGAACTGGTTCTTTAAACTGAGAATTTACATGATTTTTTTCCTCAACCATGCCAATCAAATGCCAGGGTAGTACCTTGAAGCAAGCTATTCACACCTTTCTTCCAAGCCTTTACAGTTCATTGTACATAACCCTGTTCTCTCATTTGATATGAAATTACGTCTGAAGCTAATGTATCAAGTAACTGTATATAGTGTGCACCAGATGTCATGCCCCAGCCTTTTTCCATTGCAACTTACACTGTTGAAGAGCCTTAAATTGTTGTCTTGAATTACATATAAAGACTTGTGTGATACTCATTGTATGAGTGAGTCAGAGGAAGGCATTAGTATATATGCCCTTACCAGGATGAAGTAGGAGTGCAGGTAAACCCTTGCTGAATTATGGTGCAACAAATGTGGTGCCTACTCAGACAACCCTTGCTCTTATCAAACAAGGCCCAGTTTTGAAACATGTGACCTGGGAACAAACAAAGACCTTAAACTAAAAAAATATATGGGCCTGAAACCAAGAATGACTGTGCTGGTAAAAGCCAACACAAATTACAGTCTTCTGGGTTGTAATGCCATAAGGTTTGGAGAAACCCCAGTGATTTGAAGGAACATAACTTTGTCTTCAGGGCTAAACAGTAAGCAAAGCAAGAAACCAGCATGAAGCAGGTGGCAAGCTGAGTTCATCTTTCCACCTACATTATGGTATACTTTTAGGCAGCATCTACACAAGCGCACAAAATGCATCCATTGTAGAAAGAAACAAGAGAGGCGAATGCTACGCTTTCTTCTGGCTCCATTGCAGACAAAAACTACGCACCGCATTCTGCAAGTGTGTGGTGTCCTCAGCAATGTCGGTCATAAAGTACGTTTGTTACAACAGATGCATTTTGTGCGCTCGTGTAGACGCTGCCTTAATAGTGTAACAGCAGTTGAAAATTCAACATGAAGTCTCATTTGTTAACTTTCACTCTGTTAAATACCCCTATTTTAACCTATAGTCCTTTCCAATTCTTTGTTACTTAATGATACGGTGAGGCCGCCATTTAACAATGTCTCCCACAAATAACATGGACAAGTAATCAATTGTCAACTGATTCCTTTATATAATATACTACACTTCACACATCCTGTATAAGCATGTTGATTTGCTGAAAAGTTTCTTGCAATGGTAACCCAAATTGCATTATTTCAGAGCTTTCATCTCACCATTAAACAAAACAAAAAAAAAACTGTGATTTTAGTTCACAAGTGAACTATACTGTTCTGGGACAATACCAAAACTTGTGTTTATTTACCATTAAATTCTTCAATCTATATAGAGAGGTTAGCAAAATTATAAAAGGAGAGTTATGTAACTTTGTGCTAAGTTTCTATGTAAAGTTTCCAATTATACAGTCTTTAGGTACACAAATGATATGAGACATAACCCAGCAGTAACCCTGATCTTTGTAATTTTCAACACAAAACCATTTCATACAAACATTTCTGGGAACTTTAATTATGTTTATCATAGATGGGGCAATCCAAAAGTTATCAAAATCTGAATTTTGCATGCGAATGGTTATGAGTACATCGAAATAGCGCTAGGTGTCTCCTCACAGATCCTTCTTGAATCAGTGTGGCAAGCGGCGTCGAGTTGAGTGGTTGGGTTTATTGTTGGTGAACGTATTTCCACTGTTGTGTTTCCGTGAGTTTGCGGTTTTGTGATGGCTGACCTGAGAGAGCAGCATGTCTGTATAAAGTTTTGTTTCAAACTTGGGAAAACCGCTGCAGAAACGCACCAAATGTTGAAGCAAGCTTTTGGTGAAAACAGTTTAGGCCAGACACAAACTTACAACTGGTATAAGCGTTTTAAAAGTGGCCAAACACTGACTGATGATGACGATCGTTCGGGACGGCCATCAACTGGCACCACACCAGAAAATGTCGCGGAAGTTAGGGATCTGATTCCGCAAGATCATAGACTGACCATCCGAGACCTCTGTAACACCTTGGGACTAAGTTATGGTACATGTCAACGAATTTTGTCAGAGGAACTGAACATGAGGAGGATTGCGGCGAAGTTTGTGCCACGACTGCTGCAAAATGAACAGAAGCAGCATCGCTTGGAAGTCTGCAGGGAACTTCAGCAACAGCTTCAAGAGGATCCAAACTTTCTTTCGAAGGTTGTCACTGGTGACGAAAGTTGGGTTTATGGCTACGACCCTGAAAGCAAGCAGCAGTCGTTGCAATGGAAGAGCCCTTCTTCACCTCAGCCAAAAAAAGCTCGACAAGTCGAGCAACATTAAGTCCATGTTGATCTGTTTTTTTGATATTAACGGGATTGTTCATAAGGAGTTCGTCCCTCCTGGTCAGACAGTCAATAAAGAGTTCTATCGCGATGTTCTAAGGCGTTTGAGGGACGACATGAGGAGAAAACGTCCAGAGAAGTGGCGCATGAACGACTGGGTACTCCACCATGACAACGCACGACCGCATATGGCTTACATTGTGCAGGAGTTTTTGGCTAAAAACAAGATGGCAGTTGTTTCCCACCCACCGTACTCACCAGACTTAGCTCCATGCGACTTCTTTCTCTTCCCCAAGATGAAAATCAAGTGGAAGGGGCGAAGATTTGATACAGCCGAGGAAATTCAAGGGGAAACACAGACGGTACTAAACACCCTAACAAAGAAATACTTCAAGGATGCATTTGAAAAGTGGCAGAAATGCTGGGATCGGTGTATGCGCTCCCAAGGGGACTACTTTGAAGGTGATGGTGCAGAATAAGATCTAGGTAAGATGTAATAGTTTTTATTACTATATTTCGGGAACTTTTGGATTGCACCACGTATTTCATACTTCTACTTATAGTACTGATCAGGTACTGCCACAAAGTGTAAAAAACGTTTCATAATGGCTGTCACTTTCTAAAGTAACCTTAACAGGGTCCTGCATTAAATAACACTATTTATATGGCAGCCATGTTTTTAAAGATTCCCTTGTTAACATCAGATAATGAATGCACATATGGGGCCTCAAACAGATGGAGGCACAAATAAGGAGATCTCTTTTATAGCAAAGACCTGGTTCATCCTGCTTGAATGAATGTATAAGATGTGGACCTTCTTGGTCCTTGCACCACGATCACAGTGATCTATTGTGCCTCCCCTTCTGATTATCCCCTCAACAATCCTGTGCTTTGAATGAAGTGTAGGATTTTGTACGTGGGGACGTAGAAATAGTCATTTGGTTCCATAAAATATTGACCCAAGTGGCGCAATCTTAAATAAGCTAAGGCCTCACATTCGCACAGGATATGTGTGGCTGTTTCATTTTCTTCTTGACACCTCTCACAAGTTGGACTGTTACTTAGTCCCAGTTTGAGGATATATGGAATACATATATCCAGTGCACATAATGTTTCTCAACACATTAAAAATGAACTCTTCATCAAGCACAACATTTCAATTGCTTCCCATTCATTGAATGTAACATAAACCCTTATTTATTAATGTTAGTTTGGTTAAGTTAGGCTGTTGGTGGTAGATGTTATTTGCCATTGCAAATTAGTTTCTTTGAACAGAGATCCAACTGGATTAAGATTCAGTTCCATTCTGTTCTGATTAAGTGGGTGTTAGATATAGATTGTATGCTATCAGATTTCTAGCTGCTAGAAATGGCATCAACTGCAGATTAGGTTAGATAAAATGAACAATCTTTATCTTTGATGTACCCTACTGTATCATTTCATTGCACTGTTTACATACAATTTACAACATAAATTTAACCTTAACTGACATTCTCCACAAGGATTTCAGTGATGAAGAGAGAAAGCTTTTCCTTAAGGTTCATTCATTCATCAGTAATCTGTCAAGACGACAGGTCCACAGTCTCTTCCAAAACAGTTCCTCCACTTGATGCGATCTAGAGCTTTCTCCTTCAAATGAAATATCTCGCATACATGGTATCTCTGGTTTTGGAAAGAGACTATCCAGGAAAAGTGATAATGTGGTAGTTTTTCCATTTGCTTTCCACATCGCAGTACAACAGCCGTTCAAACCACTCTGGTCACGCCTGTTGCTATACGAACNGCCGGAAGCAGCGTCATCAGCAGCGACTTGAAGCACAGAGTAAATAATGCTCGTTCCTTAAGGTAACAGAGGTTTATGTTTCATGTTTGTGATTGTGTAAGTAACTGTATGTAGAAGCTGATAGTTACACGGCTAGTCAGAAGTTCCCAGTCATACAGAATGTGAAGGTTCATTACCATGTAGACAAGAGATCACCAGTGGATTCTATCCTGAGCCAGTTGAATCCAGTCCATTTCCTCACACATTTCTTTAAGACTCATTTTCCCTTCTTATATTCTCCTTTGAATTTTTTCAAAAATAAGTTCTGAATGTTTGTCTTATCTCCCACACATGCTGCATGAGCCATGAAAGCCATATTAATATTCTCCCTAGGTCTTCCAAGCTTTCTGAGTGAAATTTCTGCATTTCACATCTCTCCGAAGTGTGCTCATCTCATCACTGACTAGAACGATAATTATGGAACTGTCTCTATCCTCCTCATAGGTCCCACATTCTAATATATTGTTCTACATCAGACTGACATAAAAAAATATCTAAAACAACTTTTGGTACATATGGAAGTTATAGTTCCCACTGTATTTTTCAGTCATTCATTTATCTGTATTCCATGGATCCTTACAAGGCTACAAGACCAGTGGATATAGGAATAATCAAAGACAACAAGACAAGTTCCATCAATTATAGAAATACAAATTTATTATACTTAATCCATAACAATCACACATGTTATCCAAGACAAATCATGAGTAAATCATTAAACAATTATAAAACATATATGTAAAAGCATGCAACATACTAATATCAAGCAAGACTACAATAATCAAACATAAAAATATACTACTAGGCGTCCAGCATATAACAGACAAAGATCTTTAATTAATATTGAAGTTAAAATATTCTTGCAATGAGGAAAATGAATTTAAAAGTAGAAATCTTTTTAAAGAAAATCTAAATTGTTCTGTGTCATGAGCCAAGTTCTTTATGCTAGAAGGAAGATTATTAAAAACCTCTATTACAAAATAGTATGTTCCTTCTTGAAATACTGTTAAAGTACATACTGGATAATGGTAATGTGTCTTGTAATAATGCTATGAATCTCAGAATTAGATTTAAATTGTTCTCTGCTCTTGACCATAAATAACAAAAAGAGAAAATATGGACTGTGACTGGAGGGGCAAAATTTTCAGTTTCATAAACAATTTCTCTACTTCTAGAATTAGTACTAATTCTAATTACTCTTTTCTGTAGCCTAAAAGTATGAACACTATGGGGAGAATTGCCCCAGAAAATTATACCATAAGACATAACAGAATAAAAATATGAGAAATAAATCACTCTTACTGTTTCCTGTGATATATGAGGTTTAACAGCCCTGACTGCATAATAGGCCAAACCTAATTTAGACATAACCCACTCAACATGTCCTTTCCATGACAATATACTGTTGATAATTAATCCAAAAAATTTGGTATTAGTAGATTTAGCAAACTGGTTGTTACCATAGTCAATATGCATATTCACTTGATAGCTATTCTTAGTCAAAAATTGTATAAAATATGTTTTATCAACATTCAGTGTCAATAAATCAGCTTTAAACCAATCATTATATTTTAAATAGTTGAATGTTGTTTTCATAATCTAGAGGGCTGCTACTCATGATAATTATTCTGGTGTCATCTGAAAAAAGAGGTTGTTGAAAATATACAAGTAATCTAGTAACTCTTTAATGACAATCTATGTTATACTAATGCCATGCCCTCAAAAATGTTGTAGAAAACATATAAGAGCAAGATCAATAACATTTTGATCCTTTCACAGAACGTGATGTAAAATGTACACATGAAAAAGTAATGCAAATAAAACTGGATTGTAGGTGGTACAAAACATGAAATTCTTTAGCTCAGATGAAGTAGCATCTACTCACCTTTCTGGACAGGTACCAGGTCAGGTTGCCATGGCACATCCATTTGGGCATTCTGCTGAAAATGCACCAGCACAGTTCTCGAAACTGTTGACAGTTTAATTCTGTCCAGCTTTGGTTATGTGGGCCTTGGCATCAGTAAGAGATTCAGCCTAGCAAAAATGGTCTTGGTAAATTCTTGGCTCCCTCACCCAAACACAATTTGGGTATCATACACTGAACGGGTTAAAGGGCTTTCCATTCTACTTTCATGTCACAAGGGATAATCTCCCTGATAACGTCCAGTTTATACCAAATCTTGTCTTGATGGGCCCCTTCCCACCATTGCCCTTAACGAACACACGTGAAGGAACGCGTAATAATGCTGATGGTTCCTTCAAACTCTTAAGACATTTGGTGTAAACTTCGGCCTCCTTAACAATCCCACGATTAGGCAGACCTGTCTACTAAGTCAGACCTTACCTACACATCTAGCACAGATCAACTGGTGGAATTTTCTAAATCTTTGCAAGTTACGCAATCCACAAAGTGAACGTAGTGATTTCGTATGAACACCTGTTACAGTACAACATAAAGTGCAATTAATTCCGTTTGAAGAATTCTGCACCTTCGGATCTTCGAAATAGTACTGGGCAGCCATTATTACCAATTCAAGTTTTGAAATGATGGTTTAATTAGGCCACGTTCACCAATAACTTATATATACCTCCATCCTCCGACCATTTTCATGCCGTACAGCTGATTTTGTAAACAGAACTACAAAGCTGAAAATATATTTCTTCCGATTGGTGAAATTTAATACGTAACGTAAAATCTGCGCATGCGTCATAGTCAATATTTCGGCCATATTGGTGTGTGGTATTCGTTCGCCCAGTGTTCTGAAGATAAGAAGGTATTTGTAATTGTAATATATATTCTCCGAACATATGTTTTGTTCCCTCTCCGTGTATTCGGATGACCGGATATACTTTTATAAGCCTAATGTCAATACTTGTCATCAAAAGACAAAAGAGTTCATTGAAGTTTTGTGGGATTGCCACTTTGGCTTCGTTCTCTATGTGGCCTCGGCTAAATGGCAAATTATATTGTATTTGACTGGTATTTGAATTTGTTTATGAAATACTGTATTTGCAAAGACAATGAATAACACATGCCTTGATATTTGCGTTTGTACCATTTTTCTCCCACATGTATGCATGATTGTTTATGATATATGGAAAGATCATGTCGTTACCTATATTTTAGTTCTTTACGCTTGATGTTAATTCGGCGAGTCTGCGTGTGTACCATGCGTGATTAGAGGTTCATGAATGGTAACACACCATATGCTAGGTGTTTCTCATTGTCTACTGCCGCAAGGAAACGAATTTGCTTATATCCAATGACCTGTCCATTCATATCTAATGTGGATTATATTTAACTCATGCCCTAAATGTTGAGAGGTTAAATAGGCCTAATTTTCCCATTAAATTCCAATTTCAGGCAGTTTATGAAGATGACTGACTCCATGAAGTTTGGTCCAGAGTGGTAAGCAGTTTGACCTACCTTGTTTAATAAGAACCTTAGAAATTTCTCATGCTTTTGATATCGGGAAGCCCAGTCATTTGAATTTTTATTCACAGACTTTTATGCCGAATGATTGACTGTGAAAAGAATTATGAGCGTCATCTAAGAAAATGTTTATAAGCATGTTTTTTTTTTTGTTTTTTGTTTTTTTTTGTTTCGTTTTTTTGTGATATACTTAACTGAACTTTAATGTACTGTCACTTAAGAGTGTTGAGTGAAGTGGTGGGTTGTCAGTGAGTGTAAGTACCCCATTATTAATTCTAGGATTTGAGACTATCACAGCAAAGACCATGAATATTACAATTCTGGGATATAATGCCATGCAGTTGGCAGTTGGTGTGTTCTGCTTGAAGGGTGTGTTAGGTAGGAATGTTTCTTCTTAACATGTTAGATTCAGGTTTGAGTAAGTCACCAGTTTGTTAAGGCACTTGAAGATTTAGTAAAGAACATTTCTTCTTTCTCCTATACCATTCTGTGTTAGCTGTATATCCCATATAATGTCACTATGATGTATAAAATAGCCCAGATATTCAGGGTGTTCTGCTGCTAAATATGATATACAATTCAGGAGGATATATTGTTAAATTTATCATGTGCTTCTAGCTATGGTAGCTACATAAGTCATTGTTTTGAATGTATAAGTTTCATTTATATGCCAGTATCACTCATTACTCATTGAGCTGAGCCCTTCTTGAGAAGCTGCCAGTTTTGCAGCTCTCAGAAACTTACCAGAATTTTGTGGCACCTGAAGCTTCATTACCATTTTCACAAGAGCCCCCCCGACTGGTCCCTGTCCTGAGACAGATCAGTCCAATCCATACCATTCCATCCTTTCTCTTTAGGATACATCTTAATGTTGTCCACCCACTTATGTCTTGGTCTTCCCAGTCGTCTCTTTCCTTCTGGCTTTCCCACCAATATCCTATATTCCTTCTTCTTCTTCTTCTTCTTCTCCTCCCTCATTTGTGCTACATGCCCTGCCCATCTCCTCCTCCTTGACCTGATCATTCTAATTATACTTGGAGAAGAGTACAACTTATGAAGCTCCTCATTGTGCAGTTTTCTCCAACCTCCTGTCACTTCATATCTCTTCGGCCCAAATATTCTCCTCAAGACCCTGTTCTCAAACACCCTCAGTCTGTGTTCCTCCCTTAATGTCAGAGAACAAGCTTCACACCCATCTAGAACTACAGCCAAATGATAGTTTTGTATATTCTAATTTTTATGTTTTTAGACAGCAGACTAAAAGACAAAAAGTTCTGGACTGAATGGTAGCAAGCATTACCCTACTTAAGTCTCCTCTTAATTTCCTCCTGAATAAGATTCTAATTTGTGTGGGTTGCCTTTCGGTGTTTGGTGTTTATATGTCAGTATACTGTTTATAACATATTTCATCAACATTTTGTTTGTATCATTCATTGCATATGCTGCTGTTGTGCTTCTCTGAGGTGAGTGATTTTTCTCTTGTATTATGTGACTATTCTCGAGTGCAGTGTAAGGATACCAGGAATTCAAAATTTATAAATGAATGCATTGAACATTGGACTGAAATCTAAAGTATTGAATAATTGCTAATACCATCCAGTGTGATTCAATTTGCAGATATGCATAGCTATATCTATATAAATAGCTACAAATTGAATGACACTGGACAATGTTAACAATTATTCTATAATTTTGTTTGCTAGTGTGTTGGACCAGAGTGAATAGAGTTAAGTTTATGGAAAAATCTCTTAGTTTATAAATGCTAACTCAACAAAATGTCTGTGCTGTGTTGCTGTTCTCTCTGAGAAGTTTGAATTTTGTATCATTTTAACATTACTTTCTACTAAATACTTCTTTCTTATCAGTAGAGAGAGGCTGAATGGATTAGTGGTACCAGAGACTGTAGTTTAGAATGGACTGTAACTAACAAATGTTGAAATATTCATTATTCACTGATAGTATTTTGCTTTAAGTGTATACTCAAATTATGCCACTTCACAACTTTTAGCTTTATGCTCCCAGCTTATGTTTGAGTTCTGGAATAGTGATTCTAATTTATAGTCTAAACTCATGTTTCAGTGTTTCATTTATTTCAGATATTCCATTGTATGAATTTAAGTTTGCTACATTAACACTAACCCTCTGTCTGTTCACCGAAAAAAAAATATTTATAATTTTTTGTGCCTGTACACACCAGAGGCAGTAAACATCTGACTTTGCACCTTTCATGCTTTTGTTTTCAGTTGTCACAAATTACTGTGCAGATAGTGCAGATATAAGATTCCCTATCCATTATTCAGGTTATTTATAAGAAGCATTTGATAGGCTGAATTAAAAGGAAATCCCATCGGTGGACCTCATTGGTATCTTCACAAGGTAACTCATCTGAATATCACAAAGATAATAATGGTGCTTGAGATACCTTGTTGGAAACAGCCAAATGAGGAATTTATATGTCAAATGAACAGTTTATTCACATGAAACATGTTTCATAAATTTCTGAATAGACCATCATATGAATTTTAATTTTATATGCCCATCTCAAATTCGAAATTATTGTAGCCATAATTTTATAAAATTGTACTGGTATAAATAGGGGACATGCGTTACCGTGCTTGGTTGAGTGACTGTGTTACAAGCTGGAAAGTCGCAGGTTCTAGTCCCAATGAGGTGGATTTTTTCAATTTACCTAACTCTTCTAGCTGCAGTATGACCATGAGATCGACTCAGCCTCTAACAGAAATGAGTACCAGGCATTTTTCTGGTTGTAAAGAGTGGCTGGCACATAAGATTGACAACCTCACCACCATCTGTGAGCTGGTTGTCTAGAAAATGTGGGATCCTCAACCTCTCACAACCATATGGGCCTTCATGGCCTGCTACAGGGATCGCTTTGCCTTTATACTGGTATAAACAGCAAAACTAGGTGCGCCGTGCCATAGCTCAACCGGTTAGTTGCGGGTTTCCCATCACAGTGGCCCAGGTTCGATCTTGGGTCTGGTCAAGTGGGATTTGTGGTGGACAAAGTGGCGCTGGGGCAGGTTTTCTCCGAGTACTTTGGTTTCCCCTGCCAATCTTCATTCCACCAATTGCTCCACAATCACCCTCACCTATCATCTGGGGCTGGTACAATAGGCCAGAAGTGGCCGCAGTACAAGGGACTTAGTCCCACCCCACTAGTAATAAAAAAAAAATAAAAAACTCTAGATTTGCCCCTTTCTCACAAAGGATGCTTAAAATAATCCGTTGGTCTGAAAGACTGATCTTAAGGACAGTTTGTGGGACAGAGAGAGAAAGTAGCCAGAGGAGAAGCCGGCACAACATGAGTTGCAGTTCTGATGTAAAAGTTAAGGTGGTTCAGCTGAGATGGCCCACACATGTTTCCAAAATAGATAAACATATTAATTGTTGGTAAACCGGAAGGGAGAAGAGACTAAGGTAGACCAAAACTCAAGTGGCTAGATAATACAGAAAATGTGAAAAGCATTAGAGAGACAGAGGTCTGGAAAAGACTGGCAGAGAAGGGCAAAGCCCATGCCAGGTTGTGGTGCCAGGATAAAGACTGCAGACTTGCATTTGATAGGCTATCCCAATTCAGGATTCGTGTGGCTTTCTTAATTCCCTCCATGTGAATACTATGGTACTAACTTCAGGTAGTATTTTCTCTTCATTCTTGATAATGTTCATATCTCATTCAGTACTATGTAACATCTACAGTTGATACAGGAACATTAAATAACTAAGAGTCAGTTACTGATTGTTTACACATATTTAACCCTACATTGTAAACCCTCTTGGGGGGGGCAGTTTATTCCTTCATACAAGGTGTGGCAGTAAAGAACCCGGATTACTTTTATGACTCATTTCCGGCCACGTCATTNGTGCTGTCTTGTGGCCACGTCCTCTTGGATAAGATGATAACGCATTACAGAATGATCAAATTGAGGTTATGTTCATGCTTGAAATATGTTTCCAGTAATGCCACTTAACAAACTTAGCGTTACAAAAACTGATGAAAATAGTGTCCTGCAACATTCAAGGCCATAATGACATAACAAATGCTGTGATGCATTGAAGTCTGCCTTTCTTTAATTTCTAGAATAACATTCTGAAGTCTGCACTGTTAATAGATAACTCCTGTAGACGTTATGTTTCAAGTTCCACCATAGATGTTAAAAAAGACTGCACTGTCAGATCTGGGGAATGCGACAGCTGTAGTCCTCTGTTGATAATTAATTTATTAATAGAGTCGGTAGATCTATTGAATTATCTAAGATGTTTGTGAACTTAAGGAGAGACACACTGATATATTGGGTTTTTGGACTATCCATCGTCCTGGTTTTTAAGATAAAAACCCAATATATCAGTGTGTTATACACCATCGTCAGAATCCTATAGTAACTACTTAAGGAGAGACAGTACGACCTATCACTGCAATGACAATTTTGTTATATTAAGATACTTTTTTTAAACAGCTGCACGTTCTGCGGGTTTGAAAGTTGGTACACAATATTTATACGGGTTCTGCATCAGTGGATTATTACTCATAGTAACATACAGTGAGGACAGAGTATCCATAGGCTAGCCAGCTGGAAGTTTGTTCTCCCACATGTCCTGTCACCTGATGCTAGCTGGTTTATGTTGATAGTCTGTGTGTTTAGTTTTTAGTCATCCTTGAGATTCTTACATTGCCACTGTTATGAAATACGGTGTTCAGAAGTGAAGTGTTGGAAGAGACCTTTACTGACTGAAGAAGAACATAATGACACTGGTGCTTGATAGAACAGGCCAGAAGAGGTAGTTATGTCTTTCAGTTCTTCAGTGTGAGTTAGCAAAAATTAGAGCTTAGTAGAGCTTGTGGAATGCAGTTGTTGAAGTTATGGCCTTACAGAACTACAGCCGTACATAGACTTTTGCCTTCAGATTACAAAACAAGAATTCAGTTTTATAAGTGGTTTCAGGAATTGGTGTTCAAT